TCCAACGTCATGGTGGTACATGTAGATGAAGCTGGGCATCTACCCATTTGGAAAGAAGCGAAAATAGTCCATGGAGGACTTGAACAAGCAGAAAAGAAAAATTATATAAGCTGCTTACATCGCGACGGAGAATAACATCAACGCAGATTCCGTACACATACATACATACATGGACACATGCACGCACACATACATACATACATTGACACATGCACGCACACATACATACATACATTGACACATGCACGCACACATACATACATACATGGACACCTGCATGCACACATACATACATACATGGACACCTGCACGCACACATACATACATACATGGACACCTGCGTGCACACATACATACATACATGGACACCTGCACGCACACATACATACATACATGGACACCTGCGCGCACACATACATACATACATGGACACCTGCACGCACACATACATACATACATGGACACCTGCACGCACACATACATACATACATGGACACATGCACGCACACATACATACACACATGGACACATGCACGCACACATACATACACACATGGACACATGCACGCACACATACATACACACATGGACACATGCACGCACACATACATACACACATGGACACATGCACGCACACATACATACATACATGGACACATGCACGCACACATACATACATACATGGACACATGCACGCACACATACATACATGGACACAGATTCAAACTATCCAAGGTAGGACTTCAGATTGCGCAAGGAGAACGAGAAGATGACGCTCTATTCACTGTCCAGGGAGGCGGTGGAAGCCCTGTTGCAGCAACCCCGATCGAGACTCCTGGGCAAAGGGTCCTATGGCAAGGTCTTTGCGGTCCTCTACCAAGGGCAGGAGTGCGTCGTCAAGCAAGGAGTGTCCCAGCGTCATGCTTCCAACTTCTTTGAAGAGATGAAGGTGATGAAGCTCCTAGGGGGTGCTGGAGGCGCTCCTATTCCCTTGGACTTCTGCTAGGCCATGCCTGCCCTCCTCATGACCTTCTGCAGGGTTAAAAATCTAGAGAAGTACCTGAATGACCTGTCATTTGTAAACGAACTGCCGCTTTTGTACATCCTCAAACTGGGTTTCCGTGTGACCAAGCGCCTTCAGGAGATCCACCGGGTGGGTTTCGTTCACTGCAACTTGAAGTCCAACAATGTCACCCTCAAGTTCGATCGTAAACAGAAGCTAGAGTCCGTCCACATCGTTGACTTTGGCTTTGCGTGTCGCATCGGGCAAAAAACAGGAATAAAGGGGACTAAGAGCAGAACCTTGGACTGGTACTGCGACTGTGTATTCAACGGTTCTCCCATTGATGTGAAATGCGACCTGCCCGGCTTGAGTACCATCTTCAAGAATTTGTTCTCAGGCAGAAAAGACATTCCCCACAACCTCGTACAACTGGCTAAATGCTGCGCGAGTTCCAATCATGCCAGACGACCCGACCTGGAGAACGTGCGAGGGTGCTTCGCTAAGGAGTGTTCGAAGTTCACGTCCAGTCCAGTCATCAGCCGCTTGACGAGAATCATGTCCACCCTTCAGTCGACTGAGAAGAGGAAGCCCCTCGAAAAAGACATCAGGGTTCTGGCCCATTTCTGCGCTGACGAGGAGCTACCCATTCTGTCTATCCCAGACATATACATGTACCTGATGGTACAGAAGCCCGAGAAAATCGAAAGCGACTGGGGGCTACACGTTCATGACCGGGCGGAAGGTGATCCAAAACGCGAGCACTCTTAAAGATTTCAAAAACCTTCTTGTGCAAGCCATGAGGTTGAAGGCAGCCGATGATAATTGTGGCACTCAGGTCCTCGAAGGCATCTGCCTAGACATGCTGTGCCTTGTGACCAACGACGTCCTCAAAGTCTTTTAACAAGCGCCCTCGCAAAGAACGAGATGCAGCCACACCAGCGAAGCACCCCCGTCAAGACGCTCGCCGACCTGCCCTTCGGATTTCTGTCTGGTGATCAAGGACGCTGCGTTGAGCCGGAGACCCGTTTCTCTTCGATGGCCACATATGCAGTATGAAGACAGTTTAGTGAGGAATATTTGATGAAAGAGAAAGGTAAAAAAAGAAAGAAAAAAAAGTAAAAAAGAAAAAAAATACAAAAAGTAAAAAAAAAAAAAAAAAAAAAAAAAAAGTAAAAAAGAAAAAAAAGTGTTTGTTTAAAATTGTTATGGAATGATTTTCTCGATCTACCTCAAGCTTGCTTGCCTTCTGTTTTACCATTTATTTATATATGATAATGATAATGGCAGAGTGGTTAGAGCATCGGACACGACAATCTGAGTTCGAGGGGTTCGAGTCCCGGCCGGCGCGTTGTTCCCTTAGGCAAGGAAGTTCACCTCAATTGTCTGATGGTATGAATGGATGTGTGAATGTGTATAGTGAAAGTCAATGGAGCGAATAAGGGATAGAGAGATGGTGAACTCTTCAATCACCCGAAGGAAGGCAACGGGAAACCACCTTCGTACACTCCCTTGTACAACCATGAAATTAAACATTCACCCGAAGGAAGGCAACGGGAAACCACCTTCGTACACTCCCTTGTACAACCATGAAATTAAACATGGTCGCCAACGTCAGGCTCTGATACGGCACAAAAAAAAAAAAAAAAAAAAAAAAAAAAAAAAAAAAAAAAAAAAAAAAAAAAGTCGCGGCAGCAATTATACGAACAATTAACGGGAGGTCTCAGTCGTCAGGTAGTTCATCAGCTCATGTCTTATATATATATATATACTCTGTAATTCCTTTGATGTACAGCCTCCGGGCTAGTACAGAGGTAACGTGTCGGCCTGTCATCCGAGGGGTCGGCAGTTCGCGCCCCGCCCAGGCGCGAGAAGTTGCAATTGTCGCCTAGAGGTTACTGCTGTGGCTGGGCACCACGGTGGGTAAGGACTAAGCTCTGCCGAGTCAGCACCTGCTGACACACTGTTAGCGAGTCGACATTACTCGGCATAGGCCGGGTTCCCCCATAGACCGGGCGAGGTTCACCTTCGCATATCGGACTTATCCTTATCCTTTGATGTATGTATTTCTGACGAAGACATAATCGAAACCGGTCAAATACATATTTTGTATTGTGAAGATATTCATTCTCATTCATACCTTTTATACACTACACATACTTGTATGTGCGCATGTGAGTGAGTGCGTGCGTGTGATACTTATTTTCGAATATTCTGAATGTTTTTTCACCTTGGGCTAAAATCTGACCATAATTTTCGCTATTATCCAAGGAGGGTGAAAGTCTAAAAACTTACACTCAATACATCTGCCGTATTACATCTGATATCAAAAGAAAAATCTTGTTCATTCTGATAAAATAGGAATTCAATCTCGCTGTCTACTCTTATTTGACAAGTATGCGATTTATATTTCCCTTGTATTTATCAGTGCATGTTAAAGCTTTGATATATAGTCTTAAAAAGTGTATCATAGAAATACTTATTTCCCGATGTGAAAATTCGTGCTTGTTCACCCGGAACTTGAGTAGTTTGGATATATAGGTACCATCTAGAAAAAAACCACGAAATGACATTTGACATACACACGGTTTTGAAGTCTCTTAAAACTAAAACATCATGAAGTTTTTATTTTAAATTAAAAACCTAACCGTGATTCTTAAAAGCTTTCTTTTTTACTTGATTAAGAAGTTACTTATGTTGGAAATGTTTTTCTAACTTGGAAATAACATTGCCCTCTCTGTCTCTGTTTCAATGCTGAGAGTTATGTCTGAAATCTAAACATCCCAAAACTTATATTTTAATATATTAATGAATTCCCACATACATCAGAATTTGGTTTGATATTGCATATTATAAATATTAATGGCAACTCAACTCCATCTTTTCTATGGAACTGATGACGTTGTCATGACGTATCAACACATGATTGGTGGGATTAACTCTCAGCGCATGCGCAGGATTAAATCTAGGATCAGTAATAAAGACTGATCTAGAGGTGAATTAAAGATTAACCCTGAATGCTGCAAATTAGAGATCTGCCTTAAACTTTAATACTGTATTAACTTTCATGGCGCATACAGCAGACGCCCATTAGTCGCCGCTAACTCGACTGTCAACGCACGCCTTACTCAACATACATTCCTATGCTTGCAAGGCATTATTTAACGACTACGACACAATCATGAGTGTGGTTTTGATACATGTGTTTCGACATGGCCGCCTACACGTTTTCAATTGGGTTGAAATCTGGAGATATGGTAGGATATAACAGAAACGCGTTGTCAGTGTTCAAGAAATCAATCTTGGACAACGCGGCTCGTATTTATGGGTCTGTTGTCCTGAATAAGATAGAAGGGATCCGTTTCAGGAAACCCCATGGCCCTAACTGTTACGAGGAAAACCTCCTCAAGGATTTCTTTATATCTGCTACAAGTAAATCCGTCACCTTTCACCGTCACTCCCGACATCTCTTGCGTGCATCCACCCAAACAACCCTGTGGTGATTCGGCCACTCGCAATTCCCGCGATCACAATCTTTGGTTCAAATCTGCATGAAATATAAAACTAGTTTGGGCGTTCATTTCTATTAAAACAAACCTCTTTCTTCAAAATATCGAGCGAAGGGAAATAAGAGGGAAAGGGTGGTGTCGTTACCTACCTGTTTTGTTATCATACATATCTCGCAGCTTTTCGTTGCTGAATATATTTGTATCCTAGAAAGCCTGTGGCTTGTCTGCATATTGCAAGGTATATTCCATAGTATTCAGGAATAAGATCATCGTATAGTAAATCCATAGGAATTCCGGAACAATTATTTGATAACAACAATCCTTCCGTAACATAAGTTTCTGTTCGTTATTGAATGTTTCGACACACCCTCCTAAAGATAGATGTACAGTTACACAGAAAACGAACATGTGAATATATGTAATAGACATTGGTATTTGGTCTTCTCTGGAACTTGTATTACATTCGCTCCAGGTTCATGCATCTCCCTTACCCATCATAATCCATGCAGGCTTTAGACGTGATGACCCAGTATGGGTGCACTAGTGTCGAACCACACCACAGGCCTCCGTTGACGAACACAGTGCCTGCCCAAGGAACGCCACCCAATTCGTGCAAAGGCTGGTGCTCAGACAGGAAATATCGATGAATCTTGCCACATGGTTCTGTCTGGCATACGATTTCCACCTGCGAAATTATATACCGACTGATTATTAAATTGCTGCTGGTGTGATGTCATATCCGAATGTCTTTTTTTTTAATCCTGACTGATAGGGAAACAATGGTTTTTACCTGAGGGCAAGTCGCATTTTCCTCTCTCTTCACTCTCTTTCGTTTTCTTCCATTTTCTAGGGCCTGAAGCTCTGCCATGAATGCGATTCTTTTAGTGTCTTGAACCAATGGTTCATTAGATACACGTCTAGCAACCCGTGTAAATGTATCCATATTAAAAGACGTTTCTGCATTCAAGAGGAAGCGAGACTTCCCTGCATTCTCTGTGGAATACTCTGGTTCACTGGGCATGACGACATTCAGTTCCGTGGGTCCTATTACCGAGTCCCACTTTTTCACTTCCCTAGAAAAGTGAAGTGTAATCCATCCAAGAAAAATATGAATTCATACACCAATGCTATATAAAAAAAAAAAAAAAAAAAAAATAGGAGTTAACTAAATAATACGAAATTACATTACAGAAAAGTCTTGTCTCTGCTTTTCTTATCAATACACACAAATATATATATATAATAGACACATAATATAGATAGGAGAGAGAGAGATAATAAATGTATAGATAGAGAGAGAGTATATATAGCGATAAGAGTATGAATAGGAGATAGAGACAAGAATATATAGATATAGAAGAATACAGAAGACTAGAGATATAGTAGAATATGATCATAGAATAGGATATATAGATCGGAGATACATATAAGATATATATATATATATAGAGAACATATAATAGAAGATATAGAGAGCGAGAGACATAGAAGAGTATGATAGAATATTATAGAGACATGGAAGTAGATATATATATATATAGAGACATAGAATCTATACTAGAGACCTCGATCGTAGAGAACAGCTCACTCAATAGATAGAAGATAGAATAGAGACAGATAATATAGATATAGAGAGGAAGAGACATAGAAGACCACACTAGAGAGAGAGGATATAGTGACATGAAAGATATAGTAGAGAGAGAGATACATATAATATATAGTAGAATATATAGACAGATAAAAAGATATAGTAGTATAGAGAGATACATAGAAGAGAGGTAGATATATATATACATATAATAGAGAATATAAGATATACAGAGAAGATAGATAGATATATATAGAGTACATAGAAGAGAGTAGAGATAAGAGAGATACAGAGAAATATATAGTAGAGATAGATAGAGAGACAAGAAGAGAGTAGGATAGAGATGATTAGCTGACATATGAAGAGAGGGTATAATATAGATAGAGACAGAGAATATATATATAGAGGATTAGAAAATAGAAGAGTAAGATAGAGATAGATATATACAGATACGATATAGGAAGGATATATATATAGACAGGAGAAGGTAATAGATATATAGATATACAAGAAATAGAGATATAGTTATAGAGACAGATCAATTATAGAGAGAGAGATATAGACAGATAAGAGATTAGAGATAGATAGATTACATATAATATCTATAGATCTATAGAGACAGAGAATTATAGATAGAGAAGAGATAGATACATAGAATCGAGATAGATGCATAATAGAAGAGAGGAGACAGATAAGAGAATAGATAGAGAGATGATAGACAGAGTAGACTAGAATATATAGAGACAAGAGACATATAACTATAGATATAATATATAGAGACATATGAAGATATATATAAGATATATTACAGATAATATAGAGAGAGGATATTAGATAACAGATAATAGATATATAGAGATATATATACAGATAATATCTAGAGATATATATATGATACAGATAATAATATAATAGATATATATACAGTATAAGAAGATGAATATATAATATATATACAGATAAGATAATATATATATATAGATACATCTACAATATATATATAATATCTATAGACAGAATAGATATATATATATAGATATACATATAATATTATATATATATATTATTGATATACATATAATATATAATAATATATATATATACATATAATTATATCTATATATTATATATACATATTAATATCTATCATATATATATATATACATCTAATATATATATATATATATATATACATATAATATATAGATATATATATATATAATATAATATATAATATATATATATTATACATATAATATATATATATATATATATATATAATATATAAATATAATATATATATACTATATATATATACATATATACATATAATATATATATACATACTATAAAATATAATATATCTATATATATATATATACATAATAATATATATATATATATATATAATATAATATATATATTTATATATAACATATTAATATACATATATATATAATATACATATAATATAGATATATATAGAATATACATATCATATTATAGATTATATATATATATACTTATAAATATATATATATACTTATATATATGCACTATATAGATTATATATATATATATACATAATAATATATTAATATATATATATACATATAAAATAATATATATATATATACATTATAATATATATAATATATAGATTATACATATAATATATATATATTATATATTTATACATTATAATATATATATATATATATATATATATACATAATAATATATATATATAATATATATAGATAACATATAATATATAATATATATATATATACATATAATATATAATATAGATATATATATATACATAATATATATATATATATATATATACATATAATATATAGACATATATACATATAATATATATACATATATACATATAATATAGATACCATATACAATATATCTAGTATATATATATTATAAAAAATATATATATATATAATATATAAATAAAATATTATATATATATAATATATAAAATATATATATATATATATATAAAATATATATATATATAATATATATAACAATATATATATATATATATATATAAAATATATATATTATATATATAAAATATATATCTATATATAATATATCAAATATATATATTATATATATAATAAAATATATTATATAGTATATATATATAAAATAGATATATATATATATATAAAAAATATATATAATATAGATATAAAAATATATATATATATATATATATAAAATATATATATATATATATATATAATAAAAATATATATATAATATATATATATAAAATATATATATAATATATATATAACAATATAATAGATATATATATATAAAATATATATATATATCATATATATATATATATAAATACTATATATCTTATATCTATATAAAATATATATAGATAGATATATATATATAAAATATAATAATATATATATATATAAAATATATATATATATATATAGAAAACTATATATATATATAATATAATAAACAAATATATATATAATATATATATATAAAATATATATATATATATATAATATAATATAAAATATTATATATATATAATTATATATATATATAAAATATTATATATAGGATATATATATAATATATAAAATATATAATATAATATATATATATATAAAATATATATATATATAATATCTATATATATATATAAAATATATATATATATATAATGATATTATATATAAAATATATATATATATATATATATTATAATATATAAAATATATAGATATATATATATATATATAATATAAAATATTATTATTTTATATATATATAATATATATATATAAAATATATATATTATATATATATATATATAAAATATATTCTATTATATAGATATATATATATTAAAAATAATATAATATATATATATATATATAAAATCTATAGATATACTATATATATATAAAATATATATATATATCTATATATATATATAAAATATATATTATAATATATATATATAAAAGATATATATATATATATATATATATATAAAATCTCTATATATAATAAAATATATATATTATATATAGATATATTATATAAAATATATCTTAGATATATATATAAAATATATAATATATATATATATATATAAAATGATATATATATATATATAATAATAAAAATATATAATATATATCTATATATATAAAATATATAATATAATATATATATAGAAAAATATATATATATATATAATATATATAAAAATATATAAGATATATATATATATATATAAAATATATTATATATATATATATATAAAATATATTATATATATATATATTAATATATAAAATATATATATATATATATATATATATAAAATATATATATATATATATATATATAAAATATATATATATATATATATATATATAAAATATAGATATATATATATATATATATAAAATAATATATATAGAGATATAAATAAAATATATATATATATATATATTCAAAATTATATATATATATATATAAAATATATAATATATATATATATATATATTATATAAAATAATAGTATATAATATATATTATATATCTATATATAAAATATATATAATATATATAAAATATATATATATATTATAAGAATATATATATATATATAAAATATATATATATATATTAAAATATTATATATATATATATTATATATATATAGATATATATATATATAAAATATATATATATATATATAAAATATAGATATATAAAATATATATATTTTTCTATAATATAAATATATATATATTATATATAAAATATATATATCTATATATAAAATCTATTATATATATATATATAATATTATATTATAATATATATAGATAGATAAAATAATATATTAGATATATATAAAATATATATTATATATATAAAATATATATATAGATATCTATATATATATATATATATATATATAAAATATATATATTATATATAAAAAGTATATATTATATATTATATATATATATATAAAAGATATATATATATATATAACATATATATATATATATATAAAATATATATATATATATATAGAGATATATATATATTGATATATTATATATTATATAATATATATATATATATATAATATATTATATATATAAAATATATATATATATAAAACAAGATATATATATATAAAATATATATAGATATATATATATATATCTATATATATATATATATATATCTCTATAAAATAATAAAATATATATATATAAAATATATATATATATATATAAGATATATATATATATATATATATCTATATATATATATAAAATATATATTATAATATATTATAAAATAATATATATACTATATATATATAATATATATATATATATAAAATATAATATAATATATATATAAAATATATATATATATATATATAAA